ACAATGAAGATCACCGAGTACACTCCCTTGAAGTAGTGCTGAGTTGGTACTGTCTCTATGGCACCGATGTCCAAGAGGTGCTGTATTGCTTCTTTCAGATGTATCAGCTTTGTTGGTTCTTTTGGTACTGGAGACTGAACAAACCGATGTGGGGGTGGAGAAGAAAATTGGATCTTGTAGCCGAACTTCACAATGGACAGGACCCAAGGGTCTTGAATGGTCCTTTCCCACTGTTCGGCAAAATCCTGCAGCCAATCCTGGCGTCATGTCCTGAAGCGGCAGGGCTATCGAAACTGGAAGGGCGTCCTTGCTCTATCCAAGTAGGCATACTATTTGCATAGCCCTGCCTGAAGCGAGAAGGGGCGTGACCTAACCAGTCTGGATGCCTTCCCCCACTGGAGGAGAATGCACATGTGCAGATTAATGTCAACAACATGGGCTTAAATGAACACTAAATGGTAGACTTAGAAAAATAGTGTTTATAATCGCTGGCTGGCTGATTTTGCTGATTGTTTATATAACTAGCTGCCAAGCAGCACGCAGACTGAGACAACAGCTCTGTGGGGGAACTATTGTCAGGCTGTGTGACAACACACATGCATGCCCATTGTGCTGTTTAAATGTAGAAGAGTTAGTTTGTATACTCCGTTTTTCCCTATGCTAAGGAGTCTTGAAGCAGCTTACAATCGCCTTCCCTTCCTCTCCCCACAACAGGCATCTTATGAGGCAGGTGGGGCTGAGAGAGTTCTGAGAGAACTGTGACTGGCCCAAGATCACCCAGCAGGCCTCATGTGTCTCAAATCGGCTTGCAATTGCCTTCCCTTCCCCTCCCCACACCAGGCACCCTATGTGGGCGGTGGGGCTGAGAGAGCTCTGGAAAAACTGTGACTGGCCCAAGGGCACCCAGCAGGCTTCACATGACTACTGTAATGTCCAGCACACCAACCCAAGCACACACATCCAGTAACATTCAGTATGTCATTAGAAATGCAACCAAACCAATTTTCGGTGCAACAAAACTAAATTTCACTCACTCATTTATTGCATTTACCTTTGGGCACACTGTTGGAGGTGTAAAGCAAAACCCTAGAAACCAAAATTGGAGGACCCAGAGTTAGCATGTGAAACAGCCACATGTGGCTCTTGAGCCACAGGGTACCACTACACTGTGTTATTACAGGATCACTCATATCAATATATTGGGGGGTGAGCTGTGGCTTATTTCAACAATGGAAGAGGTTTCTGAAACATACCTGACAGCAATTTTCCTATTCTCTAAAGGGGGATCTATGTTCCAGTCCTTCATATGCAGCCGAAAGGGGCGGGGGGGGGGGGGG